CAGGAACACAGTGGAAAGAAAGTATAACATATTGTAATGACCTGGCTGGGGTTGTTAGCCAGATGCATTCTGGGTATTGTGTTTTCTGTGTTTTCTATCGTTCTGCTAGTTCCTATGTGTTTGATTCGCGTGTCAGCCAACCATGCCAATTCAACCCACTCCGCAGAACACACATCAACTTCACTGTGGCTTACATTAACATAACACTGACACAACATGCGAATCAAACACATAGGAACTAGCAGAATGATAGAAAACACAGACAACACAATACCCAGAATGCATCTGGCTAACAATCCCAGCCAGGTCATTACAATATATATTCGGATTGTCTACATTCAGAGGAACTACTTCCTCTTCCGCCTTTCATAGCCATGTGCGAAATATGTGCCTTGGCGTGCGCACTCACAACAATGGCTGAGCGTAATTGTGTGAACGTATTTTATCTCCACAAAAAGCTGAGACGTGGTTTGCGATACATGTGGCAAAGAAGTGCTCCAAGAGTGAGGTGTTGTGGGCATACTAGGGAGACATTCAAAAGGGCTGTTGGGGGGGGGGGATACATTTTACAGGGTTTATTTATCGGATAAAATACGTTAAATGTCCCCGTTATTATTGGCCGGCCCGGAAACAGCGGGGGTGTCCAAATTCAGAGGCTGCTTCCACCTGAGGACCCGGAAAGCCGGGTAGTACGTCACGAGCTCCCTCAGTGGAGTGAAACTCTGCCGTCGGCTCCTTGCTATCTAAAATATAACCGGGCGCTGGCGTAAACTCTTCTGTTTAATCATTTTCTGTTTGACGTTTATTCAGCTGTGTGAAAACCCCAGAGGAACCCTCCCGAGGGATTAATACAGTTAAATTGAATTTAATCTAATCTAATAACTTTAATCTCAGCCAAACCGATTTACTCACGGACAAATAAAACACTGAAAAAGCCAAACAATAACATTTTTAAGTTATCAAAGTGACTTATATATCATGTTTAACCCGAGTGGTGAAAGACCGCGGGGGTTTGAA